ACCACAACAATGCTAAAAGGATGAACAGTGCAATGTGACATCACAACATACATTCTATTCTTCAGTAATAGCACTGGAAGTTGTGGAGTTTTTTGCTTGTCCCCTTATACCCCACAGTCCCTGTGGATGTCCACATGTATTTGAGCTGTAATAGAAGCACTCCCTGCATCTTTTCACAATTCTTAACTGACTGTTTCTATATCTCACCTATGTGCTATGTGAATCCAGTCTCTTTTGACATTGCTGTGGAGATTTTGCTCACGGGAAATTGATACATATTATGTCTCTGTTATTTCCAGATACCCCTGGTGACAAATATTGATTTTATGTTACATAAATTGCTATTGTGTGCCCTGAAAAGGATGACTTCAGAATATTGAGTAAAATAAACAATCACATAAGATTGCCTTTTTTTAAAAAAAATCTATGCCTCCTTGAGATAATAGATTTCTTTAAGGTTATGCAGAATTTGTATAGAACATCAAATAACAAAACATAATTGAAACTATAATATCCAAAGGAAAAGTGTAATTGCCTTCTAACATGGAGAAAATCTATCAGGACTTAATTATACTTGCAATCTCACTAGAGTGGTCATGACTGGATAATATTTTCCTGTTTCTTTTAGGTTGATTGGTTGATTAACAAGAATGTATTTTCTTCTATAGATCTGTTACAATGCCATGCTGGAGGTGGCTGTTGGATTGATGGCAGACTCCCACTTCCCCTCTCCTTGCACTCTGCTCTCCACCCATGCATCTTTTCTCACATTGATGTATTCTCATTGTGTTCTTTTTCATTGTTTCTTTTATTTCTATGAGCTGTGGTGGTGCACTGGTTGAATGCAGTACTGCAGGCTACTTCTGCTGACTGCCGGCTGCCAGCAGTTCGAGTCTCACTGGCTCAAGGTTGACTCAGCCTTCCATCCTTCCGAGGTCGGTAAAATGAGAACCCAGATTGTTGGAGGCAATATGCTGACTTTGTAAACCGCTTAGAGAGGGCTGTAAAGCACTGTGAAGTGGTATATAAGTCTAGGTGTTATTGCTATTGTTCTTTTATTTTCCTTCTGTTGTTTAAACTTCTTTCATTTTCTTCCTTTTTAATATTGTAAACTCCGTAGAGAACCCCCATGTCAAGATAGGAGGCAAATAAATTTAACAAATAAATTTATCAAGAGATGTCATATTAATTCACAGCTCAGCAGAAATTGTGATGCTGATTCAGTGACATCCTTCTAGGTTGTCAAGATATAGTTAAACTCATTTTACGTACCATATGTATGCGTGCCTTTGACTTCTGGTGACTGCTTGACCTAGTCTGGGGAATTTTCTTGGCAAGATTTTCAGAAGTGGTTTGCCATTACCCATTTTAAGGTATTTGATCTATGCATCCTCAAATGCATGGATCCAAGAGAAACTATTATATGATATCTGAGGCAGAAATAACTGCCTCTTCCCTTCTCTAGCATAAAACAACTATGTATTAAATAACTAGTATTTGATTGCCTAGTTATGATACAGAAAACCAGCTACCTCATACAGGAACTTCACTCTGCCTAATTACAGCACTGACCCCCAATTTTTTATACTCATATATTGCTTCATTTAATACATGTAAATATTGTATCTTTAGAATATAAGCACCCTGGTATATAGCATCCCTTTTATATATACCTTAGAATGGCAATTACATGTTTGACAAAATAGGGTTTTTTGAGTATATTTTTAAGTTTTCACTGTTATGATTGTAATAATCTGTTCAGTATCCCCCTCCTTGTGTACCCATGTTTTTATATAGCTAACTATATAATATTTTCATTTAGAAGATGGTATTTTTGTTAGTGCTTGTGATCAAGGATTATTGGAAATATTTTTTTAACTCACTATTTTTCAAACTTGGTTTAATATGTGTGAATATCAACTATCAGAATTGCCCAGCAGCATGAAAAATAACAAAATCGATATCATTTCCCATATGTGAAAGATATGTTTTTAGAAAACTACAATTTTGTCTTCCAAATTAGGGTTGTAATTCTCTCTGAGTCTCACTGCACTCAACAAGACTTACCCCCAGTTAAGTGGATAGCTATAAATTTGTTCTGACAGTTATTTAGCAATTGGCACTGGAGAATTCACTAGTCACAAAATTAATGTCTGATCTTTTTCTTTCATATTAATATATTCTGGAAATAAAAGCCATGCAAGTTAGCAAATGCAGCACTGTTTACTGAGAACCCAATTTTCATACCTAACATAAAATATGTAAATTATGTACAGTGGCTTATCTCATAGCTTAATTCATCACTATATTGTTTCACTTCAGAAATTATATTTAATTTATATTAGAGTGGCCTTCTCCGAGAGTAACATTCTTGGATAATTTAACTTAGAAGGAAGTCCTAATCCAACCCCCTGACATGGCTCTTATTTAAAGATTTAAATTAAATGATTAATCTGTTATCTGAGCTTTATCTTTCTTTACATAATAAACATACTAGATGCTAAGTCAAAGTGTGTTGTGTTGTATTAACCCAGAAAACATGTATAACAGAGGTAAGTCTCTTACATTCAAAGATAAATTCTATTTATTCTGACAGTGCTTAACTCCTGGAAAAATGCAAAATACCGTATATTGCGCTTTCCTTCAAATAAGGCATGACATATTTACCAGTAGTTAGCAATCATGCTATACTCAATTAACTCTGATTTTCTAACCTAGTGTAAAGCAACTTAGCAACTTTAATATATGTATATTTCAACTCCCAGAATTTCCTAGCCGGATACTACACTGAAGCATGATAGTCTACTTTGTGGTTCAACAAATTGTCCAAATACAAACTGTCTCTAAGCAGTTCTAAACAGGATTGGTGAAGAAAGTGGGAATCAAGACTATAAAAATAACCTTAAAACAAGTGGTGAATGTAGTTCAGTTGATTAAATGCAACAGTCTAATGACTTTACTATGATTCTGGAGAAAGGCACAAGAGCTTATGCTTATCTGAGAATAAGCCCTAGTGGAATGACTCATAGGACTTGCTTCTAACAAATATAGAGAAAGCTTTTTTTAATCCAGTGTCCTCAGGCACTTCTGCCTGCAATCCCTATCATCCATAGACAAGGGCTACTGCTGGATGAAAGGTATTTCAGTTCAGCACCTCCTGAGGGTAGCAAATTTGCTATGGCTGCTTTAACAAAACAAAATTAAGCTAGTGGGTTGCAATATCATCCCAGAAACAAGCATTGTAAGAAATCACTTCTTCATTTGTAAAGATTATAGGGGTGTAAGTCATCAGGATTCAAACATTACTGATCACTGAAGTGTGGCTTGCTCCAGAAAGTACTCAAAGCTATAATTGTGTTGTCTTTAAAGCCCCGTAAGACTTTAATCTTTGTTGTATTGTAGTAAACAAACAGTCCCATGCATTGTGAAAAACATCAAAACAGACATTCAAGGGTTCAAAGGGTTGTGTTACAGAGGATTTCAGAGCTTTGCCTTTGAGTGAAGTGGCTATGTTCCAATGACATATTTATCCACAATTACTTTGGCCAATATTAACTCAAGTTTTCTGAATTCACACTGCAAACTGGACCAAAAAAATCAACCACCCAGTCTGGGTTTGCAACACACTTTGGACCAACATTTCTTAAAACTTTTTTTTCCCTCAGGAGCCCTTTCTGCTTTTAAAAATTAAGGAGGACTCCAAAAGAGATTTTGTTGTATTGGCTACAATTAGTGATATTTACTGTATTAGAAATTTAAATTGATTCATTCATTGCCACAGTTGTTTGATTTTAATATTGTATTATTTTTCAACATAGGCTGTCACATAATTCTGATTTGGAGGACCCCTGAGAGGGCCTTAGAGAAATCCCAGGGGTCCTAGCACTAAGAAACACTGCTCTAGGCTAGCTAACATGAGTTAGACAGTCTGGCCCTGTGTGGCATGCATGAGGACAATTGAATTGCCAACCTGGCACCTCATAGACAAAAATCTACAGAATAAGAGAGTTGAAAGGGGCCTTGAAGATTTTGTAGACCAACACTGTTTAAGCAAGAAGTCCTATACCATGTCAGACAAATGTTTGTCCAATCTCTACTTAAATACCTCCTGTGTTGGAGCACCCACAACTTTTGGAGCTAAGTTGCTCCACTGATTAATTGTTCTGTCAGGAACATTACTTAGTTCTAGGTTAGTTGTCTCCTTGATTAGTTTCCATCCATTGCTTCTTCCTCTGTTTTCGGATGCTTCGGAGAATAGGCTGACCCCCTCTTCTTTGATAGGTAACCACAAAGGTATGTTAGGTATCTAACATAGCTGTAGGCCACCCCGTCCTTCCTGTTCCCATTACAACATGTAATACAGGGGTTCTCAACCTTGGCAACTTTAAGACTTGTGGACTTCAACTCCCAGAATTCCCCAGCCAACATGAAACCCACATATTTTAAAGCTGCTGAGGTTGAGAAACGCTGACGTAGAAGATACATAAAGGCTGCTCTAATACCTCGCCCTGTCTTCAGGGACGTCTTCTTCGCGTTGGATCCATTGCCCGTAACTTTAACGGGAACCGGAAGCGTAAGTGCACTTTAATTGAATACGTCGCCCTCTTTAACCGGCAAGCGCCGCTACCATTCATTATTTCTCGCTTTCCTCTCCCGGACCTTTCGCTGATAGGGCAGTTCTTTCGTGACGAAATCCTCCCTCGGCCAATGGAGTAAGACCACGGCGGTGCGGAGCTTTTGTTGCTTTGGCGGCCCTTTCGGCATTGGCTTATGTTTCCAGGTAGGACACTTTTATGGGTCGGACTCAGCCAGGCTGGGAGAAGGATCGGCGAATGATTTGGAAATCGGCGGAAGGGAAGGAAGTTTTGTGCCGGGGACGGCGTAGGAACGGAGTCCCCCATATCCCGGCCGGGATTTTCGCAGGTCACCGAAAGGAGGTTCATCGCGTCCCAATGCAGAAGGGAGAGAGAGGCATCTCCTTCGTCTTCCTTTCCTTTTCATGGTGAGGGAACCTGCCTATTCGGCCGGCGGAACTAAAGAGGGAACGAACTCTTTCTCCCCGCCTCAGGGCATCTGCCGGGGTTGACCTGGGAGCCTCTCGCAATCTGCGACCAGGCTAGGAAAAATCGTCTTCGCCACCGTGGGGAGGACCACCGGTCTCCTCGGCTTCTGAAGAAAAGCTGCGCTGGATTACGTGTGTGACATGTCCCCAGCCATTTCCTCGAAGGATAATAGCCGGCATCGCCGGCCAGGCAACTACCGGAATGCTCTGGATGTGATGCAGAATAAGCCTGCTCCTCTAGATTTCTATGAAGATGGCCCTGTGGACGCAGTCGGGAAAGATGACAGGGAGGCTCTGCTTCAGGAGCCGCATATCCGGCCTGTGGAGTCTCCCCAAGACTATAGAGCAGAGTTTGGCAATATCCTGCTCCTTCTCTTCCTGTATGTGCTGCAAGGGATTCCTCTGGGGCTTGCTGGCAGCATCCCTTTCATTTTGCAAAGCAAGAATGTCAGCTACAAAGACCAGGCTTTCTTTAGTTTTGTTTTCTGGCCTTTCAGTCTGAAGTTGCTTTGGGCTCCCTTGGTGGATGCTGTGTACTTCAGAAACTTTGGTCGCCGAAAGTCTTGGCTTGTGCCTACTCAGTACATTTTAGGTCTTTTTATGATGTACTTGTCTGTGCGGGTGGATTCTCTGCTTGGGGAGGTCAATGGCCAAAGCCCAGATGTGGTGGCCCTTACTGTGACCTTCTTCCTCTTTGAATTCCTAGCAGCCACTCAGGACATAGCTGTAGATGGCTGGGCATTGACTATGTTATCACGAGAAAATGTGGGCTATGCATCCACTTGTAATTCTGTGGGTCAGACAGCTGGCTACTTCTTGGGAAATGTCTTGTTCTTGGCTCTTGAATCATCTTCCTTCTGCAACAAGTATCTACGCTTTCAGCCTCAAGCCAAAGGAATCGTTACACTTTCAGGTAAATGTTGGATACAGAGTCTTATGGTTTTTAAGGCTTCTGTGTCCATTTCTAATTAGAAAATTTCACATATAAGTATGATAGGTTAATTTCCAAGCCTATCATTTATTTATTGAACAATTTATATTGCTGCCCATCTCATGACAATATCTATGAGAGTTGTCTGTTTTGCGCAAGATCTTTTTATAGAATGACGTGAAGAACTACAATATAATAATTAGTTTTCAGTGTTTCCATATCTATCCAGCTTTGAAAATACAAAGTTAGTGTGACATCTAACACATGCTTCTGTATTAGCATATTTACTAAAAAATGTTATTTTATAAAAGATCTGGCATGAGGCACTTCATGCCAGATGGTATTTCTGTATTTGAATATCTAGAGTATTCTGATTAGTTATATTATAGCTGAAATGTTTTTACTCATTTATGAAGCTGCATCAAGCTAGTTTATCCATGTCCAAATTTACCAATTATACCAGTGAAAAAGGCAAAACTTCCCATACATATGGCCTAGAAAAAGAAACCAAATAATATATGGTACGTTTATCCTACAGGTAAACGTCCCCAAATTTTAGAGCTTTCTTAGAATATTCTTCAGGGAAGAAGCATTATTTTCTTAAAACTAGTTGGTTCCAGTTTTTCCTGATCAATGTAATTGATATAATGGATAACGAAGAGGGTTTTTATCCAATCAGAATATATTAGTTCTCCAAATTGACATTCTAGAACATAGAAGGATGTCTTTTCATCTTTTTGAAGTTGATAGCTGGATTGAAAAGCAAGTTTTGTTCCTTCCCCCATATGAGAGCTAGTGTGCATAGAATTGTTATTCATAAAATTAAGACAGTTCTGTTTAACTGATTTAACCCCACAAATGCAGACTTATACAGTTCAATACTCAAAGTAAGCTAGAATATGCTTTAGATTTTTTGAATGGGATATTAGAAATCCAAGCATGTAGTTAGTATAAAACTTTACTACTAATTAATTTTATTAAATAATTATTAATAATTCTTATTGATAAATGAGCATCCAGAGAGAGAAAAAAATTGGTTGAACAAATCAGGGGAGGCACTTTTATGGTTTGTTGTTCATCAGAGCAATATGAAATTGGAGAGAATTGCTCTCATCACTTGCAGGTGATATGCCATATTTATTTTCCTTTCTGAAGATGACAAACTATACATCTTACAAGTGTGGGTTGATTGGCCTCCTGGAAATGAAAGTAAAAAAGGCAAAGGCAAAACCTGCCCACTTACCAGGCATGGTAGGGAATGTTTGAATTGTACATAGGAACAAACTGGCAAGGCAAGGGCCTCAAGAAACTTCCCAGAAAATACAGGCATGCCAAGTGGTGGGAAAGGAGATAGATGAATGTGACACAAAAGCTCATGCCTCTTGGGTACAGCTTTTATGCTTGTAAGGTTGTTAGAACACTTTCCATGGCTTTCCTGTGGATTTCTGGACTCTTGGAGGAATGGCAGCTGCTGCAAGCCTCAAAGATTGAGTAAGAAGACACTTCAGATTCTACAAATGAAAGGATTCCTGTCTTTGTCCTAAATGAATGGAAGTAAGGGGAGGTGGATATTGGAAACTTCCTGCTGAGAGAGATTGAAGTAATAATCCGTCAACTGGGTAGTCTTTGAAGACAAGTATGCCTTTCTGAGACACATTTGGAGTGTGATGGAAAGATGTTGAAGACTCTGATACTTCTAGTAAGAAATATTTCTTTCTGTCATCCATGTGGAAACAAACGGTGAGACCCAGCACTGAAGATATGTAAGGTATTATGAAATATTGGACAGGAGGATGAAGAAGTTGAGGCACAGGTGATTTTTTTTCCTCCTTTCCATTGGAGGACATGGTCTAAGAAGAGAGAGAGAAGTCTACTGGAAGTAAACAACAGACTATCCAGATGATGCTAATAGAAATGGTTTGCATTCTTAAATAATGGGATCCTTTTCCAAGATGAGGGACTCCTGGCAAGAGAAAATTGAAAGCAAAGGTGTTTGAAAGGAGTCTTGAAAGCCTGATATTGAGGAGCAATATGTAGAATGTGTAACCATCCAATAATGAACACATAGATGCAGGAAGATCAGGTTATGTTTCTATACAGAATATGGGAAACAAGAAAAGCTAGAAATGTTAATGCCGGAATATAATATAATTTAGCATTAATGAAATTGAACTCATGGTATTCAAAGATTTAGTGGTATAAATTATGTCAAAGGAAAAGGCTACACTAATGTATTTGTATGTGTGTATAACATCATGAAAGAAGTGGACATTGAGATTCATATAATTGAGCATGGGAAAATTGAAAAAAAGGAGCCAGCTTTTCTATAGTGTATGAATAAACGAATGAATGAAATCTGATCCTGATCAATAGGGAAGAACTGATTGGAAAAGTAAAAGCAATAGAATTTTGGAAGTATGTAATCATGCCATTTACCTGTAATATTATGGTAAGAAACATTGGACCATAATCATACATGTTAGAGTTCAAGATTACAGAAGTAATAGATGGGTTCCCATGGGCATAAATTGCCAGGTCCAAGGAAGTACACATGGGTTGTATCCAAGTTCAAAATAAGATACTGGAAGTATAATAGAGCACTCAGTTTCAGCAAGGGAAAAAGGGGGGGGGGGACTTAGGAAACTTGTGGATAGCATAAATAACTTTTGAGTTAAGATATATAGGAAAGGAAAGATGGATGAATCACCAAGGAGCGTATCAACAAGGAACTATATCTATGCAAAGAAAGTTAGGAAGTATAAAGTACAAAATGAGATTTAGGTTTTCAAGAAAATCTACAAGGAACAAAATAGGCTTGTTTGAATCTGTCATAAGTAAAAGAAGAAAGGGATGGGTCCATTGTTAGGATGAGTAATAGGAAGTAATAGGGAGAGGTTAGAACTTCTTGACTTTTCTTTGGTCATCATGCCAAAAAGAAAATATGTTCAGATTGACTTCAGCAGAACAATTAATTTTAAAAAAGTGGTAACTCAAAATAAGAAAAAATATAGTTAAAAGCTGGCTACCAAGAATACTTCAGTTCAGGACCAGACTGATTATATCCCTCAAATATTTATAGATATCATCTCAGAGTTCTTTCATGGTTAGTTGGTATAATGAAGAAGGGTAAGCGTTTTGTCTTTAAAAGAAAGGATCCAGCTAACTGATGTGACAGTTTATGAGGAACCAGGATGAAGCATTTCATTTATCTGAGAAGAGGCAACATAGACTGAATGGGAACGATTTGGGAAGAAAGCATTTCAAATATTTTTTCCTTTAATTAGACTACTACAGCTGAGAGTGGGAATTTTTAACAATTTTTAAGATTCTGTATCTAGCATTCATGATACCATCCTGAAATCCATGTTGTTTTTGCTTGTTTTGTTTTTTTAGCTGTTTTTTACAACTCCGAACTGATGCTGATACTGAGCAAAATTGAAACAGAGTGCTAAGCAGTCTGTGAGCATTTAGAAAATAATGGATTACTTCACAGGAGTCAGCCTGGGTCAGTCATGAATAAATCATTGCCAAGCTAACCCAGTCCTTTTGATCGAGGGATCAGTGATTTGATCGTGGAAATGCAGTACGTTAGGATTAGGTTAGAATTTTTACAATTAGCCATTTAATTAAATGATCTGTCACAATACAGTGTTTAGTGGTATACAACATGTTTGATAGTTGTACAAAATGTGCACTATAAAAGATTTATTGTTATAGAAGTAATTATATAAATACAGGATTACATAAACCTGTATGGGTACTTCTGCCAAAGCACCGTACTAGATTTGTATATTTTCTTAATCCTATCAAATCTTATCTACTTTTGATGTATCTGCATCAATTTATATACTTCCGCATTATAGTAACTGTACAGCTGGTGTATATGCTAAGTTACAGCAAACAAACAAGCCCATTGTAACCTCAAAAGAGTGAAACTTAAATCTCTTATTTTGTAAGGAAAGAAAATAATATCAAATATCTAAGAAAATCCAAACAAAGATAGTGTTGTAATACAGGTAGATCCAGTTACTCATGGGGGGTTACATTTCAACATTCAACTGCAGATAATGAAACTGCTGACATTGGAATGTTAGGTATAAGAGCCGCAGAAAATTATTGAAAAATCAACCAAAATTCACCATAAATGCAAGTATTTTGGCACTTCAGATTTTTTGCTCTCATATACTATTTTATTTTGACTATAGAATAAGGCAGGGATAAACAAAAAGGAATGAATAACTAGCATTTATGAGTATTTTAAATACTCTATTTAAAAAAATAGTGACTGTACAGTAGAATCAAAAGAATGAAAACTAAAAGAATAGTGTTTCTTCTACTGGTGAAATGAGCAGCACCGTCTCCAAAAAAGGATCAAATAAGGAAGCATGGCACAGTCTTCCTCTTTTTCCTCCTCAAAACTATGGGAAGTGTTGTATTGCATTGTGAAGATGACCAGTCACATAGTAGCTATAGCTATATTTGCAAAGAAGCAGATAATGGTGCTTTATAGAGTCAGAGTGCAAGATTGGTGATCCACTCAATTTCATCTCCTATTGATGGAATTGGTTCAGTAGATGAAGAGCTGACTGCTCAAGCATTTTTACATTGGGTTCCATCTGTGGGATATCATTATTGCAAAAGGTGTCTTAATCTCAGTGCTGTTCATGGTCCTCTCTCCTTCAGAAGTTACTGACTGATGGAGAATGCTAATTTTTCAGTGGGATCCAGCATTGTGCTGAAAGGGCAACAATCGTAGAATGATCTTAGTCAAAGAGATAGTATTGTATGGCAAGAAAGAAAGGTTCTCCAGGTTTAAATATGTGAATTAAAGAGTCTCGGCAGGATCAAGGATATTGTCAAGCACCAGGAAAGTTCTAAAGGCCAGGTTCTTGAAGGCAAAATATTTTTCCATTTTAATCCTGAAAGCCAGTTGACCCACTAAGAAAAGCTCTGTGATCACATATGTTATTCTGTTGGAATACTTTTTTTTTTTTTAGGGCACATGGATTTTATTCTGTACAAACTTCCAAGAACCAACTGATCTTCAGCATTGAAGAATTCTAGCCTCCAGCTTCAATATCAATCAGACTTAACATCTATGGTTCAGCAAGGCAACCTTCTGTGCCAGCTTGATACTGTTGTGGTTGTAGTGGTTGAATTTGTGAAACCCACCTCTCCAAGCTTGGAAATCATGCTCAATGCTTTCTATCCCAAACTATAGAGAGAGGTTTTTTCATGGATTAATGGTTCACTCAATAACCCATTTGGGGAGGGGGCTCGGTCCTTTATCCACATGCTGAGATCCTTTTCCATCTGTTCCAGGGGGAGATCCCATTGATGTTCTACCACCTTGAGATTCCATACTCACAAGGATACTAATTTCATTTTTCCTTATGGAACATACAATGAAATTATTGATGTTAAATTGCCATGCAATAGATAGTACAATGTCCAACCAGCTAACATGTCTAGCAGCTTTACCTTCTCACTTAAGGAGTAGCCCCTTGTGCCAATATTTGTTACTTTTTTCAGCAGAGGAATCTACTATGCAGTTTTCTCTTGATCTTGCTGATTCATTATTCTTAAGAATGCAGAAGATCATTAGGGATGCTAGGAAGATGTTGGCTGAGCTTGTACTGTGAACTTGCTCATTTTCACTGTGGCATAAATAACATGCAGAAAGAAAAAAATATGGCAAAAAATTGTAGAGTGCTAGGATAATTGGAGATATGAGTAGGGTTTGTAGTTCTGGACATATGCAGAACGAAAGACAGCCAAAAACACAAAGTCAGTAATAAGTAGCATCCAACCTTCATCATTCCAAGCATAAGCTAAAATAATAACTTTTCACCCACTTTTAATGCTACAAATAAAAAAAACCTCTTCTCTCCATAGCCTAACTTTTATTTTTAACCTATCCATAAATCACAATTCTTTCAATTTTGGTTCAGCAAAAAGTTCATTAGAAGTTGCCGATTTATCGGTATATTAGATCAGGTATAAGTAGATTATTTTCTTACTTGGTGCCTTTGAGTCAGTTTTGACTCCTGGTGACTGCCTGAAATTTTCTGGGCAAAATTTTAGAAATGGTTTGTCATTGTTGCTTCCTAGGTGTAAGAGAGAGTAACTGGCCCAAGATTACCAGCTGGCATTGTGCCTAAGGCAGGACTAGAATTTAGTCTCTCAGTTTCTAACCTAGTCCAGTGGTGGCGAACCTATGGCACGGGTGCCAGAGGCGGCACTCGGAGCCTTCTCTGTGGGCACGTGTGCCGTCGCCCGAGTCCTAGGCCTTCAGCTGGGTTTTATAAAACCTTTTCGCTTTAGGCCTCCGCCGCCGTGTGCAAAAAAAAAGGTTCAAACAAATCAGTCAATTTCAACTTCTCGCAGGAAAAAAAAAGATCTTGCAAAGTTGGAATTGATTGATTGAACTTTTTAGTCCCACCCAGTCTGCCGTTACCACCGCAGCCACGCACACCCAATGGGCCACACCCAGCCAATGGGCCACACTCACCCGGCACCTGACGATGCATAAGTGGGTTTTAGGTTGCAGTTGGGCACTCGGTCTCTAAAAGGTTCACCATCACTGACCTAGTCCCTTAACCAACACATTACATTGGCTCTCATCTAAGTGAATTATACCATTGAATAAAAAAGTTTTATTAGATGCAGAGAACTTCTGTAAAACACATGTCCATATTTGGGTGATATATTAATTATTTAATATGGTTCAAGTCTAGTCATAGTATCTGTGAAATGTAGTATTCTATGCTTAGAATATAATGGCTTGCCCCTGTCTGGTTTCTTTAGATAGGTTCCACTATAGTTTCATAAGACTCAAATAATCTGTAGGAAAGGCTGGCATAAAAGGTCATTAATGAAAAATTTGGATTATGAATGAATATCGTTTCAGATTTCCTCTTTTTCTGGGGTGCTGTTTTTTTAATAACTACTACATTGGTGGCGCTTTTGAAAAAGGAAAACACGACAATAACACCATCAAAAGAAGAGACAAAAGGAATCATGGATACATACAAGCTGCTTTTCTCAATAATCAGAATGCCAGCTGTCCTTACGTTTTGTGCCCTGATCTTAACAGCAAAAGTGAGTAAATAATTTGTACAGTAGTTTCCAGTTGGGAATTTGAGCCATTTTTGCAAAGGGTTATTTATCTATAGACTTACGTGTCAGTCTTATTAAATCACTATGAATCAGATGGCAACACGAAAGTTATACAGGGAGTTTTTGACTTATGATGGCATTTGGAACTGGAATTTCTGTCACAAAATGATGCATTATAGAGTGCTAGGACATCACTTAGCGATGGCAATTCCTTTAGTTCTAGTTGCCGTCATTTAACTCAGTTTTGGGATCATCAGGTGAGGCAACGTCCTGCTGGCTTCCCACGAGCAAAACCAGTGGGGAAGCTGGCAGGAAGTTGAAAGTCCTAGGCTGGCAGGCAGGATAGAGCAGTGGTTCTCAACCTTTTTAATGCCGCGACCCCAGCCGGTCGTAAGTCGAGGACTAAACCGGTCGTAAGTCGAGGACTAAACCGGTCGTAAGTCAAGGACAAAACCGGTTGTAAGTCGAGGACCACCCAACCGGTCGTAAGTCGAGGACTTTCCCTGCCCGGGAGCGCCGCGCATGCGTGGAGCAGGCCAACCACCAGCTGGCCCAGCCCAAGGGAGGTAAGGCACCCGCCGGAAAAGGGAGAAAAAAATGGCGGACCAAAAAAATGGCAGACAGCCTTGCTTGGCGACCCCCGTGAAATGGTCGATCGACCCCAAATGGGGTCCCGACCCACAGGTTGAGAACCACTGGGATAGAGGCTTATGCTGGGTGGGGGAAGGAGTGCAAGGAAGGTACAGTGAAGTTTAGGGAGGGTGTGTAAGAGTGCGAGGGATTGCATTAGAGATGCCACAAAGCTTGGGGAACATGCACAAAGATTGGGAAGGACGTGTGAGAGGTGCATTGACGGAGTTCATAAAGGATCAGGAAGAGTAAGGAAATGTGTGAGAGGCACAGTGAAGGTTGGGGAAGGTGCACGAAGGTCAGGGATGGTGCACAAACCATGGGCGAGGGAGATTTACCCCAGCGACTTACAACCTTTCCTGGCAGCTTCCCCATTAACTTTCTGTGAAAGCCAGCAGGGAAGGTTGCAAATGGTGATCACATGATCATAGGGTGTTGCAACCGCTTGTAAGTGCAAACCAGTTGCTAAATGCCCAGATCACGATCACATGACAATGGAGGTGCTAGGACCACCATTCCCTTCAGGGCCATTGTTACTTCAATCACTGACCAAATGGTCATAGGTCAAGTATGATAACCCTAACGCTGTGCCAGGAATGTTCTAGTGCCGGGGTCATGATTGCTGTGAGGAAGCACTAATTTTGATAATCCCAAGTGGTACTTATTTTTTTTTTAAAAAAAGATTTGTAATTATTATTTTGCACAGCAAAATTAATCACTTTGTTTTTCCCGTCAAAATCTATGGATTTTCACATAGATTGCCTGGTTTTTCTATGTTGCTGAATAGTTTTTAAAGCACATTTTGTGAAAATCCATAGATTTTGACGGGAAAAACAAAGTGATTAAAAATCATAACGTCTGAATACATTTCTTGTTGCATAACAGTAAACAGGATGTATAAGATTTTTTTTTGGTCCAAATCAATATTTTTTTTATAAATTTCACATTATTGATTTGGAGCAGGGTACAAGTTTCATTTAACCAAAAGTGGTTTACCTCACTATCCGGCTACTGAAAAAGCAAGACCAAGTTATAAAATTAGTTATCAAGACAAATTTGAGAAAAGCTTAAAGTTAATAATCTTAGAGAAAATTAACAAGCATTTATGTTGCAGGTTGGTTTCTCAGCAGCAGATGCTGTCACAGGTCTCAAACTGGTAGAAGAAGGGGTGCCTAAGGAACATTTGGCTCTGCTTGCTGTTCCAATGGTTCCACTGCAAATCATACTGCCTCTGATCATCAGCAAATATACAGCAGGGCCAAAGCCCTTGAATACATTTTATAAAGCCATGCCTTTCAGGTAAAATGTTTAGATTGTTACATTTGCTGCTAAATATTTCACTGTCTCTTTACATGGAATTGTATTTTTATATCTATTAAAAGTAGTTAAATGTGCATCTCAAGAACCGGCAAATCTGGGACAGCAGGTTTCTTTCTGTCTGAGGCTTATGTTAATTCTTTAAGTAACATATCATTTCCCTCCCTCCTTTTACTGACCAAGTAAAAAACATTGTGTTCACACATTGTAGCAAATCTCAACTGTACATAATTCTGTCTTATCTGGGGATAAGGATCATGCACAACTCAATTGGTTCTATGCTGGCTGGGGAATATTGGGAGTTGAAGTCCACACATCTTAAAGTTGCAAAGTTGAAAAACACTGAACTAACCAAATCAAAAGGGGTCTCACCTTTTTTTTTTGGTGTTTTGTTTTTGTATAGAACGAGAATCCCTCCAGTTTATTCTTCTCTAAAGAAATCAGACTTAGACAAATCATAGCTTTTAACTTTATCTTGCTCTTTCTTTAATAAGTCTTAGTGCACACATAACACTAGTCAAACTATAAATAGAATAGAATAGAACAGAACAAAACTGGAAGGTGAATGAAGCTGTCAAAGGAAGATATATAAGGAGGATAGTTTCCTGTTAAAACATATATCAGCTTTATGTGATTTGTAGAATGAAATTTTATTTAAGAAATGCTTTATTTGATATCAGCCAAGTGCATCTGTGTTTTCGCGCTTCTCAATTCACATATGTTAAATAGCACACTAGAAGCTGACCCTTTTGTTAATGAATTAAAGTTACCTCTCACTCATAACTTTGATCTAAAATTTGTGAATATCAGATAGTCATATGGCTTCTGTATATCACAGGAACAGTTTCATTATCAATTAAAAATATTCTCGTCTTTTTGTTGTAGGCTACTGTTTGGATTAGAATTTGCTCTCCTGTTTTGGTGGACTCCCAGAATAAAGTATGAAGGAGGATTTCCAATCTATTACTACATTATATTATTGCTGAGTTATGCCTTACATCAGGTAAGGCTGCATACCTGGGTGGAGTTATTAGTTCAGTTTAAGTATGATTGCTTCAAGAAGTGCTGGATCTTTAATGAATGGATTATTGAAAGCAGTAGCATCTCTGTTTAGGCTTGCATGAAAAGCTGAAAAATGCTGGGTTGCTTAAAGAAATAACAGTTGTAGTCTTTAATAAATGCTGCAGTTGTGGAGATTCAAAACGTTTTTCAGAAGCACTTTTGAAATGTGTACAAATTCATGCATACATACAGATGTATATGTATGTATGTTTATGTACAGTATATGTGTGTGTGTACACAGACACGTGAACACACGGTGCAATTTCATTTCAATTGATTAATTGGGTGGAGATGTATGCATTAATTGTTGGGACTCATAGCAATTTTTGTCATATAATTAAATATTTCATTATGCAAGGAACAATCCTGGTTGAACTTATTAACAACCAGAAGCTTGCAAGATTCTTTTAATATAGTGAGATAGGAATGAGATGCATTGGGATTTCTTATATGTGCTCTCAGGAGCAAAAAAAAAAGGTTCTTATCACAGTTCTAGAAGAAAGAGCAGGATGTTTTGAATAAAAATCAAGTCATCCCTTGGTGCTTATTGTTTTCCAGGTTACTGTATACAGCATGTATGTTGCTATAATGTCTTTCAATGCCAAAGTTAGTGACCCACTCATTGGAGGAACGTACATGACACTACTTAACACAGTATCCAATCTGGGAGGAAACTGGCCCGCCACAGTAGCTCTGTGGCTTGTGGACCCACTTACAGTGAAGCAATGCGTTGGAATTCAGGGTCACAGCTGTGGGACTTCAGCTGCTACAGAAGTAAGTTTGGTGCAAGACAGATTCCCCATCTTAATGTTAGTATGGTGATACTGAATTTCCACACTGATTTTATAAATTTAAAATGGATTATGAGGCGCTTTAGAAACTTTTTAATATATTATTAGTACTTTTGCTTTGTCTTACTAGATCCTATGTTTCATTGGTCCACCTAAAATGTTTTTGCTCCGCTAAGCATTCAGTTGCAACATAATGATCAAAACTGTAGGATTTTGCCATATTCGCTTGAAAGAAGTATCAAGTCTTTAGCTGCAATCCATATTTTTTATTCTTAACTGTGAACATAATAGCTGCATTTGGACAATCACAAATTGGCCTGACTACTTGGGATTACACACAACCCTTGTGAACACTATGTAATTTACATCAGGCATTGCATCAGAATGTATTGACAAACAAATTGGACACCTTGCATTGATCGTAATTTCCTGTTTACTCCAAACTAGAAAATTGTGATTAAAGATTCCAGAAGAAGCTAACATATCAAGCCAAGTTGGGCTGATATCCAAGCTTCTTCAGAAGCCATGAATAATATTTCTACATGTTAGAAAAAAATATCCTGAAAAAAGTCTGTTTGTGTGGTTGCTAAAAGTGAACACTTAAGTTCAGGGGTCGGCAACCTTAAACACTCAAAGAGCCACTTGGACCCATTTCCCAGAGAAAAGAAAACACTGGGAGCCGCAAAATTTGTGTGCGCGCACATGCGGGCAAGGGAGGGAGAGCTTGATTGAAGAGTTTAATTAAAAAGAAATAGAGGCTGCTGTGCGTGAGTTCTCTCCCTCCCTCCCTCTCTCTCTTTGTCTCCCTCCCTCCCTCTTTCCCCCTCCCCCTCATTCTCCCTCTCTCCGATCTTCTGCTCACCTGGCAAGCTGGCTTCACACTGTTCTCAGACAAGCTGACACACATTCTTATTGGGCTGGCTCTCTCCTGCCCTTGGTCTGCCAGTCCTCTTCCCCCACTCAGTGTGTGTGTGTGTGTGTGTGTGTGTGTGTGTGTGTGAGAGAGAGAGAGAGAGAGAGAGAGAGAGAGAGAGAAGGGAAGCGCAAGTGCCTCTCTCTGTCTCTCTGTCTCTCTCTCTCTCTGCAAATGGCGGAGGAGGCTGGGAGCCGCAGGAGAAGGCTCAAAGAGCCACATGCAGCTCCAGAGCCGCGGGTTGCTGACCTGTGCTTAAGTTGATGGCACATTATCAAAAACAATATAAAAGTATCATTTATAGATGACTTTGGTGTGCCTGACTGAAACATTCATTCGTTCATTCATTCATTCATTCATTCATTCATTCATTCATTCATTCATTCTTCATTCAATTTTATAGTTGCCCATCTCTGTCAATAACTCTAGGCAGCTTATAATAAATATGTTACAATTAAAACACTAAAAACATTTTAAGACAATAAAAAACAGTAATTTATGTGGAGAACAAAATCATAGAACCAAATGCAGGTAATCCTTGACTTACAACAGTTCATTTAGTTCAAAGTTACAACGGCACTGAAAAAAGGAACTTATGACTGTTTTTCAGACTTAGGACCATTGCAGCATCTCTATAGTCACATGATCAAAATTCAGACACTTGGCAACTGACGATTGCAGTGTCCTGGAGGATGTGATGACCTTTTATGAACTTTCGGGCAAACAAAATCAATGGAGAAGCCAGATTCACTTAATAACCATGTTACTAATTTAACAAATGCAGTGATTCATTTAACAAATGTGGCAAGAAAGGTCATAAAATGGATTCAATTGTGGTTGTAACTCGAGGACTACCGGTAGGCAGTCCTGAGCTTACAACAGGTCATTTAACAACTGTTCGAAATTATGATGGTCTTGGAAAGAATTCTTTTCACAGCCTGAAAAGCACAAGAAGAGACTGGACAATCATCTGTCAGAGATGGTATAGATTCTCCTGCTTGAGCAGGGGGATGGACTAGAAGACCTCCAAGGTCCCTTCCAGCTCTATTCTATTCTATTCTATTCTATTCTATTCTACTTTACTTCTGGCCATTGTAAAATGTCATGCTCCCCCCCCCAATCACATGACTGCATTTCAGGCCCTTAGAAATGAGCATTTTTGACTAGTTACGCCATCCTATGGTCATGTGACAGATTTGCTGTATTTTTGGCTGGTTTCTGCCACCACTCCCCTCCCAATTTGGGAGAATGGTTTCACTTAACAACTGTGTGACTGCTTAACAACGGCATGATTCGGACTTACAATTGCATGATTTGCTTAGTGACTGTTACAAAAACAGTAAAAGGAGTCCAGTCATGTGGGTACCTGGACCAAATTAGGACCAAAATTCAAGTCCCAATAGTGATTGTAAGTCAAGCACTACCTCTAATGAGTTAATTTTATTGAACTGATTTGTAATTATAATATTGTTTTGTTTAGACCAAGGGTCCTCAACCTTGGCAACTTTAAGACTTGTGGACTTCAACTCGTAAAATTCCTCAGCCAGCAAAGAATTCTGGGAGTTGAAGTCCACAAGTCTTAAAGTTGCCAAGGTTGAGAACCCCTGGTTTAGGCCATGAAGACAAAACTCCTGTTCAGCAAAAAAAAAAAATCCAAATTAAAACATCCCTAGCTATTCTCATTTGTTTAAGTAAATCTGCACTTTTGTAGTGTTCCTTTCTTCTCCATATAATAGGTAAAAATATATTCTTACAAAGATTTTTGAAATTAGGCCAAAGATTGTGGGTTGTCAACAAATATTCTCAGCAGCGTAGTCCATTTTTGAATATTGTACACACTTTTTAAATCATGCACATTAAAGTAATGGAAGGCCAGTTACGCATTCAGAAAAAAGTTTTAATGTGTTACATATGTCAAAAGCAATTTGTTTATCTACACCTGATATACTTATCACTTGTTCCCCATCCCTTTTGTTTTTCTGTATTGCAGCTTTGCTCAAAAGAAGGTGGATCTTGTGTTATTACTCTGGATGGTTATTATGTGGAATCCATAATATGCGTAGTATTGGGATTTGTTTGGTGGCTGTTTCTTGGGCCCAAATTGAAAAGGCTGCAGAACGAGCAACCGACATCATGGAAATGCAGAAGCATCAGTTAATGAAAATGAAATATCACAAAAGACTAGCTAAAATTGCTGTAGCTTTGTCATATAACAAATATATAAGAGAACAAGTATCCACATCTAAAAATGGTCAGTTTATACATGCCAAATGACTTTACAAAAGCTAAAGTCAAGTTAAGTACTGTATGGATCAATTATAAAGTTTGCCCTTCTTATTCAAAATGACCCTTAAAGGTTTTTTTTATTACTTCATAAAAACATTTAAAATCTGTTACTATTCCGCTAAATTACAGTTGTTGCCTTTCTTTCTTTTTATGTCCTTAAAGTTACCTTTGAAGAAAAAAGCTGTCTTTAAAGGAACTTACAATAATTTTGATTTATAATAAACATTGAGTCTACATGGTTAAAATGTTTTAGAAAGAAAAAAAATGTTATATATATATATATATATATATGTATATGTTTTATAGTGCTTTCCAAATAGGTCAAAACAATGAGGATAACAGATTCTGTCTGTTTTTTTGTTTTGCCTTGCTCCTATAAAATTTAAAGATTTATAAAAAAAATAATATATCTATAGTAGTAAGAATATGCTTTTTTTTCTTTTAAAGTTCAGATTTGGTTCCCTATACTTTATTTGCTAATAGAAATGGTTTCATCATTACGGTACTAATAGTTTACAGCATAAGTAGCCCCAAACCACAGAGGCATTATTAATTGGTACTGAAGTTTTTCAAAATGTTAAGACCAGATATAAAATTGATGACAACAGTTTTCACATGAAAAACCAAAGTTATGGTTTATGAAGAATGGAACATACTTTTTCTTTCTTTCTTTTTTTTTGCGTGTGGGACCCAAATAGGACTAAGCAGACTATTTAGTGCCTTCTGGAAATAAGTTGTGTAAGATGGCGACCAAATATCTGTACTATTAAATTTTAGAACATAAGTGTCATTGTTATAAAATATACCCATTTCTGCTGATATCAGGAATCTAAGTAAATGTTTCAATGAACATTAGAGGAAATCTTTTTTTTAGAATCTAATGATGTCCAGTATAATGTATATCATATGTAAATGGGATCTGTATAGCATTTGATGTATTGTATACATCTTTCATATGAACATTTATTCAAAAATTAAAACGGTGTCATACTTTTTGATACTGGGGTGAAATACTGAAACACTCATATCAGGGATATGTCTCAGTTTTACTGGTTATTTCAATAAGTCAGTTCTTTCTGAAATTGACATTTTTGATTCCATGTGAATCTTTCTGATTTACACTGTTTTGATGCTCTTTTCAGAGTGTGAATAAAATTTAAACCTCTAATATTTATGTTTGAAAATGTCTTTTTTTTAAAACACACATAGATGTGTGTTCCAATGAAATGAATAGGAACTACTTCCAGGAAAATAAAAATAGGGTTAGTTTTCAAATACATTTTAACCTTATCAACGGGGAAGGTAACCTTTTGTGTTTGGTTGACACTTCTCTTAGAAATTGTGATAGAAATTCTGGCATGCTGCTTCTGAAATACTGATAACATATTATTTAAATAATATAATATAGATCAGATGAACCATCCAATTTGGTAACTTGAATGAAAACTCCATAGTGCTCTCAATAAAGAGATATCATTTTCATTAATATTTTACAGCAACCTGATTTGGATTTTCTTAAATTTGATTTCTCCTTACTGCATAGAGTAGCACAAACACAGTAACCATAATTAATGATTTTAATAAATACAGTGAATATGCTAGAATAAGAAGGCCAGGGATAGGTGGCTGCAGAGGAGACGAGAGGAAAGGAGAAATATTTAAAAGAATTCTTCCCAGGATTTCCTTCTTCCAGATAAGAGTTCTGTTAAAATATTAGTTGTTTCTAGGCCTTTTCAGCAGGGGGCAGAGATTTCTTCTAGAAAAAGCTATGTAACAAGAGTATTCACAATAAATGATGAAATAGACTTTTCATGTTTTCCTATTCTGTATTACTGTTAATACAAGGTGCCAAAATAAATAAAGGTTATCAATTTAAACAAAACTCTGGCAATGTAAAATAAATTATGTAAATTGAAAAAAACTCAGAATCAATAGAAAAATTAAAAAGTTTTCTAAGTATATGAGATTTGGAATATCACCTGAATTATAAAAGATGACATTAAAAAAATTGTGCTTCAGGAGACTGTGGGTGATGTTTCTCAAACAGCATTCTCCTTTCAATTAAACTCACTTTTGAAATGCAAAAATAAGTTCAAAAGTTTAAAATAATTCTATTAGTCTAAAAAAACACACCAGCTGTGAGATATGGCATGGATTCCCCCATCCTGCCTTATGGCTTTTGTATGTATATGATTGGTTTAGATCTTAGTATATAAAATATGTCCCAGGTATGTCTCACAGAGAGATACAGAATAATTAAGCAATTATTTCTAAATACTGTTTTCAAGGCTTTATACAAACATAAAAACACACAAATATACTCAAATTTCAAGGGAAGTTTACTATAAGCCTCTCTTCTAAGAGTCATGGGTTGAGCTTCTTAAATTTTACTTTTAGGAGCTGATTATTGATGTGATTTATAATGGTGTCCCCAAGTTCTACAAATATAACCTGAGTAATATTTCTATTTTTGCTGTATGAAAATCTCTAAATCCACTATAGGCTATCATAGTTAAAGGCATGTTTTTACATTTTTAACCTAAACCAATATTAAATGAGAAGTAAGTATCTGTAGGCACTAAAAACCTGAATTTCTGGGGGGGAAAGATTTTGTGCTAGTCGATATAATTTTTGTGCAGACTCCAAATGAAGTAAGTTGGTTGAGAAATATTCTGATGTTTTTTCACTAAGATTTGATTAAATAAGTTACTTAACTGGAATAAATGATAACACCCAACAATCTATATATGTAATAGTTTCCGTTTTCAGAATGAGAAAACCTTGATAACTTTGAGAATGAAACAATCAAATATAATTACCTCATTAAAAAGAGAACATAAAATTTAAAACCAGTGATTTTTAAAATAGTAGCAATCTTGTATCAAAGGCAAAACCCATAAAGAATGATGTTGAATTTTGATGAGGATGTTATTTGATAATTCCAGCTTAAATTTTTATCGTTTGCAACTTAACCAGCAGTCTGCTACTGTCTCTTCGATTTTGCATTATTAAGGTTTATAAAGCTAGGATTTGGTTTATTTGTATTTCTTATCCACGTTATAATTTTATTCTGCCTTGATATTATGATGAACTCATTCCCTTCAAGGTTTAATCAAACATGACTTTAAAAATAGTGGGCAGTATATTATTTGCCTTGGTTTGAATAGCCTAAAATAACTTGAGGGAAAACGGAATACAATCAACTCTCCAGCATGACGAGTGGAGAATCCACCAATGCGTTAGCTTCGTCTTCTGCCCGTCTCAACTTAGTCTTTCGCCCGAGAGGACACACTACTGGCTCTAGAATCCAAATCGCCAGATCAGATCGTATTTATTTAATTTCTTTCTTTAGAGGTCCGGAGGAGTAGAAAACGAACAACTGTTTGTTCGCCGCCGTTTCTAACACATATTGCTAATTGAGCTTGGGGGGGTTTCCTTAGTAATGGAGCATAAAATCAGAAAATGCCATGGTTTTTAAAAAAAAAAAAACTTTTGAACTAACTGTTAAGCACTTTGAAAAAATTGCTGGCTATTAAGATTAAAAATGGTTCACTTCAAAAATAAATTTGTGATAATTTAACAACAACATTTACAGGATTTTTAAAAAATATTTAAAGATCTTCATTGCTTTAAATCTTATTAATAAGCATGAGAACAGAGTACAGTTTTCTTAGTGCGAGTGCTTTTATGAAAGTGCCACATTACAAAGCCTTGAAAGCTCTTTCTGCTTACTTCAATAAAGCAAGATCAACTTTTAATTTTTGTTTGTGCACTGATAAGTTAAAGTTGTGGTACAAATATTGCTTTGGAACTGAAAAGCAATAAATACTTTGCCTGGTTTCTTGATCCTGCATTTTCTTTCCAAATATTCAATTTCCAAAGTAATTTCTGTTTCTGAAGATGGTTAAAGAAAAATTAAATATCACATAAAAATGTAAAGCAGCACCTATTTTGTTTTCCAAAACTTAAAGAGAGAAACTTGAAAAAAATGGGGAGTGGAAAGGTTCTCCTCTTGGACTATTATTTTAATATTATGTATGCTGTTATAATTCCAGACATTCCTAGAGCTCCATTATGAAATACTGCTAACAGCAAGAAGAAAGAGAGCAGCAATTGAATACTTAGAATGCTAATTAAAATTGGAAATAACATTTTATTCTATAGATCTTCTGAAAAAGAATTGTCCAGCAACTTTTAGAAAACGATTGCTAGAGGGATGCATGATCAGTTTTCCTCCAAAATTTGGAGCAGCCTTTAAAATGTTCAAAATAATTCTTGCAAATTCTTGCATCTTGTTATTTATTTTTTCCTCTCACTTTCAAAATGATAGAATGCAGTGGAAGAATTCTGGAGAAGTGTAGAGATCAATTACTGTAGGAAGAAATGGTCTTTGAGAAGAAATGTTGCATCTGAAAGATGACACCGTGTGTTATTTTAATAACAGAAAGCTGTGTTACACTAGCTCACTGATCTATATAATCCTATTTATCTAACAAGGTGTCATTGTCCAGGGACTCAGGAATTTTTCATATCTGTTTCTTGTCATTTTAATTGGAGATGGTGGAGATTGGACTGGAGCCGTCTATATTCCTTGTGATCCAGGACTGAGCATTAGTTTTACATTTATCGATCATATAATTGAAATCTACAAACTACTCCATGATTGTCTCTAAAGCAGTTTTCATGTTCTGATGTTGAATGTATATCAGAAATGCTACTGATTTCTTTATTATGAAATCTTGTAATATTTCTTTTTGTAATTTAGGGGTTAAATTCTAGCAGAGAAGTTGGAGTTGTGACTAAATCTTAATGTGCTCCATGAATTAAATGCAGTGTCAAGTTCTAAGTACTCAGTCCTGCAATACCTATCATGGAGCATATGCAGAGTTCCTTCTTAGAAAAATTTATATCCAGATTGCAGAGATGTAAACAGTCAAGCTTTAGGATATTTACATACTTCCCAAGAATCCTATCTCTTCCAATAAGAAAATGGCAAGTGCCTTCTGGATAGATGTTGCCAAGAGTAGTTCTTGATTTACAACAATTAATTTAGTGACCATTCTAAGTTAAAACGACACTGAGAAAAGTGACTTATGGCTTTTTCATATGATCGTTGCAGCATCCTCAGTCATGTGATCAAAATTCACATGCTTGGCAACTAGCTCATATTTATGACATCTGCAGTGTGCTAGATCATGTGATCACCGTTTGCAACCTTCTGATAAGTCAATGAGGAAACCAGATTCAATTAACAATCGTGTTACTAACTTAACAACTGCAGTGATTCACAAGTGGAGCAAGAAAGGTCATAAATGGGGCAAAATGCACTTAACTGTCTCACTTAGCAACAAAAATTTGGACTCAATTGTCATAAATTGACGACTACCTGTACTGCATACTGTATAGTATGTACTCAATGGTCAAAGATCAGTCTACATATCATCTTTTTCACTTAACACCCCATTTTTAATCAAAAGGGTTCTAGAATGGCAAGAAATTCCTGCTCATAAGCTTTTACTCTAAAAATCATAATACAGCGAATATAAGAAGAGAGGAGAAAAAAACATTTGCAGATTAAATACTAGGGCTTAAATAATAAAATATTGTATACAACCATGGGAGAGACAGAATCTTTTGAAACTGATTCACATCGTCTCTGTCTGGTGCATGTATAAAATAGTGCAGCAGTTTGGTGCAGCTTTATTTAAACAAATGCAAATTGTAGGGATTGTTATAATTACCTATTGAGCTCCACCACAATGTTCTTGGGCTTCCCAATCTTGAATCCTGTGATCATTTTGTCAAAGAGCATGAAGAAAAAAATTCATTTTCCAGAGGTGTCCATGGAGTAATGCAGCAATCTTTATTTTCCCTTTATACACTGATACAAGATCACTATGTATGTACAAAAGGGCAGAGGTTGTAATGAGACAATGCTTTCCTCATTTGTCCCCAGCAGATGCCTCTCCCCTTTTCTCCAAGACATTTATCTTCATTTACAGACTTCTTTACTGTACTATATCATTCACATACAAAATCTTAAAAACTTAATTTTTAATCTCTTCACCGTNCAGCAGATAGACAGTAAAGCATCAAATTTGTTTCTTTTGCATCTAAATCTTGTACAATACCTAAAAGAAACAACTGTGGAAGGAAAATAATCCTTTTTTTAAAAATCTGCTGTAGGTTCCACCATAATTGTACCCAAAAGGCCTTAATAACCTTACAAGTCCACCACATATGAAAAAAGGTTGCATCTGGATGACTACATCTCCTAAACTCACTTTTGAAATGCAAAAATAAGTTCAAAAGTTTAAAATAATTCTATTAGTCTAAAAAAAACCACCAGCTGTGAGATATGGCATGGATTCCCCCATCCTGTCTTATGGCTTTTGTATGTATATGATTGGTTTAAATCTTAGTATATAGAATATGTCCCAGGTATGTCTCACAGAGATACAAATTAAGCAATTATTTCTAAATACTGTTTTCAAGGCTTTATACAAACATAAAAACACACAAATATACTTAAATTTCAAGGGAGGTTTACTATAAGCCTCTCTTCTAAGAGTCATGGGTTGAGCTTCTTAAATTTTACTTTTAGGAGCTGATTATTGATGTGATTTATAATGGTGTCCCCAAGTTCTACAAATATAACCTGAGTAATATTTCTATTTTTGCTGTATGAAAATCTCTAAATCCACTATAGGCTATCATAGTTAAAGGCATGTTTTTGCATTTTTAACCTAAACCAATATTAAATGAGAAGTAAGTATCTGTAGGCACTAAAAACCTGAGTTTCTGGGGGGGGGGGAAAGATTTTGTGCTAGTCGATATAATTTTTGTGCAGACTCCAAATGAAGTAAGTTGGTTGAGAAATATTCTGATGTTTTTTCACTAAGATTTGATTAAATAAGTTACTTAACTGGAATAAATGATAACACCCAACAATCTATATATGTAATAGTTTCAGTTTTCAGAATGAGAAAACCTTGATAACTTTGAGAATGGAACAATCAAATATAATTACCTCATTAAAAAGAGAACATAACTTAAAATTCAAAACCAGTGATTTTTAAAATAGTAGCAATCTTGTATCAAAGGCAAAACCCATAAAGAATGATGTTGAATTTTGATGAGGATGTTATTTGATAATTCCAGCTTAAATTTTTATCGTTTGCAACTTAACCAGCAGTCTGCTACTGTCTCTTCGATTTTGCATTATTAAGGTTTATAAAGCTAGGATTTGGTTTATTTGTATTTCTTATCCACGTTATAATTTTATTCTGCCTTGATATTATGATGAACTCATTCCCTTCAAGGTTTAATCAAACATGACTTTAAAAATAGTGGGCAGTATATTATTTGCCTTGGTTTGGATAGCCTAAAATAACTTGAGGGAAAACGGAATACAATCAATTCTCCAGCATGACGAGTGGAGAATCCACCAATGCGTTAGCTTCGTCTTCTGCCCGTATAGACTACCTCAGCCAAGTTGCCACGCCTCTCTCCCTGGGACAGGAACCCAGTCTCAATTTAGTCTTTCGCCCGAGAGGACACGCTACTGGCTCTAGAATCCAAATCGCCAGATCAGATCGTATTTATTTAATTTCTTTCTTTAGAGGTCCGGAGGAGTAGAAAACGAACAACTGTTCGTTCGCCGCCGTTTCTAACACATATTGCTAATTGAGCTTGGGGGGGTTTCCTTAGTAATGGAGCATAAAATCAGAAAATGCCATGGTTTTTTTTTTAAAAAAAACTTTTGAACTAACTGTTAAGCACTTTGAAAAAATTGCTGGCTATTAAGATTAAAAATGGTTCACTTCAAAAATAAATTTGTGATAATTTAACAACAACGTTTACAGGATTTTTAAAAAATATTTAAACATCTTCATTGCTTTAAATCTTATTAATAAGCATGAGACCAGAGTACAGTTTTCTTAGTGCGAGTGCTTTTATGAAAGTGCCACATTACAAAGCCTTGAAAGCTCTTTCTGCTTACTTCAATAAAGCAAGATCAACTTTTAATTTTTGTTTGTGCACTGATAAGTTAAAGTTGTGCTACAAATATTGCTTTGGAACTGAAAAGCAATAAATACTTTGCCTGGTTTCTTGATCCTGCATTTTCTTTCCAAATATTCAATTTCCAAAGTAATTTCTGTTTCTGAAGATGGTTAAAGAAAAATTAAATATCACATAAAAATGTAAAGCAGCACCTATTTTGTTTTCCAAAACTTAAAGAGAGAAACTTGAAAAAAATGGGGAGTGGAAAGGTTCTCCTCTTGGACTATTATTTTAATATTATGTATGCTGTTATAATTCCAGACATTCCTAGAGCTCCATTATGAAATACTGCTAACAGCAAGAAGAAAGAGAGCAGCAATTGAATACTTAGAATGCTAATTAAAATTGGAAATAACATTTTATTCTATAGATCTTCTGAAAAAGAATTGTCTAGCAACTTTTAGAAAACTATTGCTAGAGGGATGCATGATCAGTTTTCCTCCAAAATTTGGAGCAGCCTTTAAAATGTTCAAAATAATTCTTGCAAATTCTTGCATCTTGTTATTTATTTTTTCCTCTCACTTTCAAAATGATAGAATGCAGTGGAAGAATTCTGGAGAAGTGTAGAGATCAATTACTGTAGGAAGAAATGGTCTTTGAGAAGAAATGTTGCATCTGAAAGATGACACCGTGTGTTATTTTAATAACAGAAAGCTGTGTTACACTAGCTCACTGATCTATATAATCCTATTTCTCTAACAAGGTGTTATTGTCCAGGGACTCAGGAATTTTTCATATCTGTTTCTTGTCATTTTAATTGGAGATGGTGGAGATTAGACTGGAGCCATCTATATTCCTTGTGATCCAGGACTGAGCATTAGTTTTACATTTATCGATCATATAATTGAAATCTACAAACTACTCCATGTCTCTAAAGCAGTTTTCATGTTCTGATGTTGAATGTATATCAGAAATGCTACTGATGGCTTTATTATGAAATCTTGTAATATTTCTTTTTGTAATTTAGGGGTTAAATTCTAGCAGAGAAGTTGGAGTTGTGACTAAATCTTAATGTGCTCCATGAATTAAATGCAGTATCAAGTTCCTAAGTACTCAGTCCTGCAATACCTATCATGCAGCATATGCAGAGTTCCTTCTCAGAAAAATTTATATCCAGATTGCAGAGATGTAAACAGTCAAGCTTTAGGATATTTACATACTTCCCAAGAATCCTGTCTCTTCCAATAAGAAAATGGCAAGTGCCTTGTGGATAGATGTTGCCAAGAGTAGTTCTTGATTTACAACAATTAATTTAGTGACCATTCTAAGTAAAAACAACACTAAGAAAAGTGACTTATGACTTTTTCATACGATCGTTGCAGCATCCTCACAGTCATGTGATCAAAATTCACATGCTTGGCAACTAGTTCATATTTATGACATCTGCAGTGTGCTAGATCATGTGATCACCGTTTGCAACCTTCTGATAAGTCAATGAGGAAACCAGATTCAATTAACAATCGTGTTACTAACTTAACAACTGCAGTGATTCACAACAAGTGGAGCAAGAAAGGTCATAAATGGGGCAAAATGCACTTAACTGTCTCACTTAGCAACAAAAATTTGGACTCAATTGTCATAAATTGAGGACTACCTGTGCTGCATACTGTATAGTATGTACTCAATGGTCAAAGATCAGTCTACATATCATCTTTTTCACTTAACACTCCATTTTTAATCAAAAGGATTCTAGAATGGCAAGAAATTCCTGCTCATAAGCTTTTACTCTAAAAATCATAATACAGCGAATATAAGAGAGGAGAAAAAAACATTTGCAGATTAAATACTAGGGCTTAAATAATAAAATATTGTATACAACCATGGGAGACAGAATCTTTTGAAACTGATTCACATCGTCTCTGTCTGGTGCATGTATAAAATAGTGCAGCAGTTTGGTGCAGTTTTATTTAAACAAATTCAAATTGTAGGGATTGTTATAATTACCTATTGAGCTCCACCACAATTTTCTTAGGCTTCCCAATCTTGAATCCTGTGATCATTTTGTCAAAGAGCATGAAGAAAAAAACTTATTTTCCAGAGGTGTCCATGGAATAATGCAGCAATCTTTATTTTGCCTTTATACACTGATACAAGATCACTATGTATGTACAAAAGGGCAGAGGTTGTAATGAGACAATGCTTTCCTCATTTGTCCCCAGCAGATGCCTCTCCCCTTTTCTCCAAGACATTTATCTTCATTTACAGACTTCTTTACTGTACTATATCATTCACATACAAAATCTTAAAAACTTAATTTTTAATCTCTTCACCGTNGAAAGAAGGTAGAGAAGAAGGAGTGGGGATGCAGTGAAAGGGGAAATGGGCGAGCAACACCAAAAGTCATGTGTATGTATTTATTTCATTAAAAGTATCTTATATATAAGAATGTAAAAAGAATGTATGTTAATATCTGATAAATATCACGGTATATGTATGGGGGAGAGTTTGGAAAAATAAAAAATAAATTTACAAAAAAAAAAATAAGCTTCTTCAGTTCTGAAAAAACTGAAATCTTGCAGAGATTATGAAGCTTCTTGGATGGGAAGTGAAACGTCCTCAAGGAAGAAAAGCAGTCCTCAAGGAAGAAAGTCCAGTTGCCTTTTCAAAAAGCACCTTCGGGACAGCTGGATTCAGGGTCACGGGCAGGAGGGCTTGTCGTAGTGCGGGAGGCGCTCCCCCAAACGGCAGAAGAGACGCTTGATCTGCAGCTGCGTCCTCAACGCAGAGCGTCTCCAAAGGGCCTTCGGGTGCTTTCGCAGGGACGCAGCTCTTCCCAGCCTCCAGAAAGCGGCGCTGCTGCGGAGGGTGCCGCGGGAAGAAGAAGCGACTGGCCGGCAGGCGAGCATGGCCGAGCAGCGGGGCGGAGAACCGCCGAACTATGTCGCGCGCCTTTCCGAGTGGGCGGACGCGCATCTCACCCTCGTCCGGGTACGCGCCGGGAATCGGTCTGGGCGAAACGGAGGGTCCGTCGTGCGTAGTTCGGACTGTGCTTCGCCGCCTCCCGAGGGCGGAAGCGGGGCTGCCGGAGCCACCTCTGCTCCGGTTCCGACTAGAGCGAAAATGGCGGTTGATTTATAGCAGTGTCTCTGAAAGCTTTTTTTGTTTTCGTTTCCAAAGAGAAGGCTGAATCTTGTTGCAAGGGGCGGAGCTTTTATATATATAAAATATATAGAGAGAGTTTCCTTGCGTTTTTCTTTCGTATCCTGTAGCCCAGTGTTTCTCAACCTTGGCAACTTGAAGAGGTATGGACTTCAACTCCCAGAATTCCCCAGCCAGCTGTGCTGGCTGGGGAATTCTGGGAGTTGAAGTCCATACCTCTTCAAGTTGCCAAGGTTGAGAAACACTGCTGTAGCCTTCGGCCTCGGCCTTAAAATTCTGTAAAGTGAGACATGTCGGAATGGTCGTTTACTGTGGGTCTAAATGACAACCGTTGTGGGCTCTTAGCACCTGGTTTATCGCTCTGGGTCTTGTTTATACACCGTATGTTCTAGAGATAGAAGAAAACAGCTGTGTATGTGTGTCTGTGGTTTTGAATGAACGGTTTAATTGCATAGAAGAAAACGTCCTGTGTCCCAAACCTCTTATGAATAACATAAATATAATTTCGATCTGGAAAATGTGTCTTGAGACGGCTTAAATGGAATAATGATTCCTTTGTTGCATTATGTGCCGCTTCAAAGACATACAGATAATTTATGATCTTGAGGGATCTTGTTAATTGATCAGAATTGTTTTATTATGTACTGTAATCTGACCAAGGCCCAGCTATCGTGGCCAATGGTCAAAAATGATGGAGGTTGTAGTTGAAAAGTTCTGGGAGGCATCAGATTCGTAAACGGAATTCAAGGAAAGAAACTATGCATCTGCTAAGGCATTTGGACAGAAAAAACCCTTAAGATTGCAACATTATATTTTTCAGACTATTTGAAATCTTAGTGTAAGAACCTTGAACATTTATAGCAATATATATTAGATTCATTAAAAGGTCTCCAAATTCATTGCTGGAAAAAGTCTTTATAATAAAATAACAAAATTATGGTGTTATTTACAGAATTTTTATCTTAGGTTGCAGAAGTTAGCTAGTTGGTGTACAAACATGAGGTAACAATAATGGCATTAACCAAGATGGGTTCAATTTCTGATGACTTCAGGGTCATAGTCCTGTAGTTTTCTTAGCAACAGTACAGACAGTCCTCAACTTACAACTATTCATTTAGTGGCTCTTTGAAGTTACAATACCATTGAAAAAAGTGACTTATGATCAGTCCTTGCACTTATGACCATTGCAGCATCCCCATGGTCACATGATAAAAATTCAGAAGTTTGGCATCTGGCATGTATTTATGATGGTTGCAGCACCCCAGGATCATGTGATTGACACTTGCAAACGTCTGAGCCAACTTCTGACAAAGTCAGTGAGGGAAGACAGATTTGCTTAATGACTGCCTATTTCATTTAACTGCAATGATTCGCTTAACAATCATGGCAAAAAAAGGTTATAAAACCAGGCACAACTCACTTAATAACTGCCTTGCTTAGCAACAGAAATTGTGGTCTGAATTGTGGTCATAAGTCAAGGACTACCTGTATGGCAGTTTGTCATTACAATTTGGGTGATTTTTTTCAATTTCCTCATTTAATTTATAGTGTAGAATTTCCATGCAAGTACTAAACTACTCCAAACCTACTTAATTTTTTTGAGGCCAGCCAAGGTCAGTTAATTTAGAACATGAATTGGGTACCATAGTTGGAAACAGTATTAATTGCAATACTGAAGGAAATATATTTCAAAGTTTAGAAGTGACACACAAAAGGTACTTTCTATTTGCTTGCAGCAAGCCTTTGCAAGTGACGGCATCTTCAAAAGGGCTTTTCTGCAAGTTATGTGATCCCTTGGAGAGTCAAACCTTAAGCCAGAGGATACAATCTGAATCCCCAGAATTGCAGACAATTCTTGAAAACATTGTGTATGACCACTTACATCTGTAAGAGTGTTTTCAAATAGTGATTTTTAACAATGAAATATTTGACAGAGGAGGAACTATATTAAGTTTAAATAAAATGAAATAAAATCAAGTATAGTTTTTGTTGTGATATCATGCACTAATTTGCAGTTTCTATGTGCCATTCAGATGCCCATATATTTCTCATTCTGCAACAATTGCATACCTCGTCCCACACAATTTAAGGTTTTAAAGATTTCAAGCAATAATTTGAATGGACTCTATAAAATGGAAACCAACATAACACAAAGTGTACAACATGCTGCATATAGTTTACTAGTTGCATTTTGCACCGATTGAAGCTTTTGGGTAGCTCACAATATGTAATGTAGTTGTGGTGTATTTTTATTTAAAACTATAAAGTTCTTTGTTCAATCTACAAAATGTTCTAGAACAGCGATCTCCAACCTTTCTGGTTTCATGGAAGATAATTTTTCCAAGGACCAAAGGGGAGGGATGTTTCACTTGCCTGCTCACAATACGGTCTGTGGCCCAGGGATTGGGGATCCCTGTTCTAGAGCATGAAATAAAACGAAATGTATGTTATATGCACACTTAAAGCAGCAGCCACTTTTCTCAAGAATATACAGCAAGTAAAGAGGCATTTCCAAATTCAAAGCATCCTTTGTACATCAGATCTTAAGTACAGGTAGTCTTCAACTTACAACCACAATTGTGCCCAACATTTTTGTTGCTAAGTGAGACACTGGTTAAGAGAATTTTGCTCCATTTTACGAGTTGCCAAGCATCCAAATTTTGATCATGTGATCATGGGCATGCTGCAAGGGTCGTAAGTGCGAAAAACAGTCATAAGTTTTTTCAGCGCCTTTGTAACTTCAAACCATCACTAAATGAACTCTTGTAAATTGGGGATCACCTGTTCTCCTCAGCTGAAATTCTTCATGCTAGGAATTCTCTAGTTCCAAATTTGCAAAATCATTTTAATTTAATAAAGGATTATAATCATAAACCTATGAAGTTTGGAGATTTTGTGACTTAGTTTTTTAAAACTTAGATACATTTGTGACTATTATTATATATTCCATTTTTAGGCAGCAATTGATACTAAAAATGCATATATAGTATTTTGTAGATTGTATTCATAAGACTAAGATAAAGAATATGCTTAGATCTCATGCCATGAGATGGAAATACATGCTTCTGAAGTGTATGGGTTTTTTCCCCTAGAACATAAGTACTGGATTGGCATTAGCTGGAGTGATTGTACTTGCAAAGAGTATCAAATTGGTAAGTTACATTTTGAGTATAAAGATATTTAACTTTAGGAAGCACATATTGTTGTCTCCAATAAACTGGAACAAAAAGTTAATAATGAGCATGCTGCTTGTTCATGTACAAGTCTTGTTTTATTGCAGCCTGTTTCGTTTCAAATAAATACCAAAAAGTTTTATTACTTATCGTTAAATGAGGACTATCTGTTCTGACTTTTCAAAGCAAAATAGAAGGCTGATTTATATTGCTTTGAGTCTTGTTTACCTTTCTTTGGCAGGATTTTTAAAACTATCAGCCGCTATAATTTATAGTTCTTAGGGGCCTCACTTGGGCTGGGAGGTCATCTTCTGAAAGATTTTTCCAAAAGGTTGCTGACTCAAATAGGGCATGGAGGTTTTTCATTAATGTTCCATTTGATGGGTTCTTCTAAGTAAGAAGCTTGCCAAAATCTTTCACTAATGAAGGTAAGAAAAGAGCGAAAAGAAAGCCCTTAAATATTTGCAGAAGTTTATACTGGGTAATCACAACCTTAATGTATTGGTGCTGTACATATTGAACACAGAACTAAGCTACTGTGTACTTGGGGTCTTAATTTACAATAAAAAAAAATTCTTCCCATAAATATTCCCAAATTTTAATATTTTTTATTTTAAAATATGCTTGTTGCTTTTTTAAAACAATGTTGTTTTAGACCTTGAAGTGCCATACTGAGTACATTTCTTGGAAATATATAGCTCAGTTTATTTACAGACCTTCACACATTACTTTCAAGGGCTTCTATGTTGGTGACAAGACCTTGTAAGAGGACAAGACGGACAATATAAAAATAATTTAAATCCTGGTGTTCTAACCTTCATATAATAGGGGTGGTGGGATGTTATATGAACAGCATATCCCAAGGACCAGTCTGGGAGGAAATCCTAATTGCATAGCTACTCCTTTCTTCTTGTTCTTCTTTTAAAGTAGGGTTTCAACTGAATATATATGTAGAGGCAATTTAAGTTTATTTCCCTATAAAGTATGAAAACATTCTATATTAAGTAAAATTCAGGGTGACGTTTTATAGGTTTTCTATAAAGCATGTTTTTGTTTGGGTATACATTGTATTTTATCTCAAAGTGTTGATTTGGATAAAAAAAATGCTTGCTTAAAGTATCTTTCATGAAACCATGGATGTTCACTCTTCATAGCACTTTATAGAGTGAGAATTAGTAATAAAAGGAGCTTTTTATAATACAATGGATATATATTGAAAATTTTCACGAAGTTAAACTACTAATGATTTTGCATTTATTGTGTGTATTCAAATATATAAAATATATGTTGTATAATTACATATTTAATTTTATAAAGGAATAAATATATAATACATTGAGTTTTTTTATCCTGCCTTTATTATTTTCATAAATAACTCAGAGTAAGAACATACTTATTACATCTTCCTTCTTCTCAAAACAACAACCTTGTGAACTGAGTAGGGCTGAAAGAGAGTGAGTGGCCCAAAATCACCCAGCCAGTTTTCTTGCCTAAGGTAGAACTAGAACTCCCAGTCTCCTGATTTCTAGCCTTCTGTGTGAACCACTAGACCAAATACAGGTAATCCTCGACTTATGACCACAATTGAGTCCAAAATTTATGTTGCTAAGTGAAACATTTGTTGAGTGAGTTTTGCCCCATTTTATGACTTTTCTTGTCACTGTTGTTAAGTGAATCATTACAGTTGCTAAGTTAGTAACACGGTTGTTAAGTGAATCTGGCTTTCCCATTGAATTTGCTTGTCAAAAGGTCGCAAAAGCTGTTCACATGAGCCCAGGACACTGTAACGATCATAAATATGAACCAGTTGCCATGCGTCTGAATTTTGATCATGTTACCATGGGGATACTGCAACAGTCATAAGTGTGAAAAACAGTCATAAGTCATTTTTTTCAGTGCCGTTGTTTGAACGGTCACTAAATGAACTGTTGTAAGTCGAGGACTACCTATACCTGCATTTATATTCTTATAATATTCGTATAAGCACTGCTTATATTCTTTTTTCTTATGAATAGACAGCCAAATTCACAAATGCTTTGGAAATACCTCCGGAATTTATACAGAAGAATGTTAAACTACGTGGACAATTACGTCGAATAACTGAGCAAGGATTAGAAATTGAACATGTACCTATTACCCTTCCAATCATTTCCTCTCTACAGAAAAGATGTAAGTAAGATGGGTAACTTCATAGTGGCAAAGTTAAAAAATTTTATAGGTTTGAATTTAGGGAATATTAAACATGACTGAGTGGCCACTATTAGAAAACTCATATAAAAAACAAATGCAATATTTTACCATGTATTTGTCTGTTGATTAAAGTTCTGCGATATTCAGATTCAAAGTGGGCAAGAATGCTTTGGATGTGGCATAAGAATCCTCACTGCTTCTTAAAGGAACTCCATCTTTTTCCCAAGCTGGCACTTTTTCCTAGCCCTTTGGTGTTTAAGTTAAGGGGTGTTACATAATGGGGCAGTGGAAGCTCTAACTGTTCATCAAAACACTAAAACCATTGATGGAGCGTTGGACTGGGAATGAAGATAGGCGTGTTCATGAACTCTTCAGCCATGTGGATGACTTGAGTCAAATGAGACAATGTCTTTCAGCCTGAAATCCCACAATGACTAGTGACTACCTCACCTAGCAACCGTTTGCACTTAGGATAGTGATGAAAAGTAACTTTATGACCAGTGCTTATATTTACATTGGCAGGTCTGTAAAGCAAAGGAAAGCTGATGGTCATAAGCACAGTCGCAATTTCACTTAGTGACCACTTTGCTTAATGACCAAATTGCTGGTCCCAATTATTGTCAGGAAATGAGGACTACCTGTATGAAAATAAAATGGAAGCATACTTTATTTGAGCTTCCAGAGGAAAAACATGAGATAAAATTGCAAGAAAAATAATGTGTTTGCTTATTTTACTAGGTTTTTACTGCCTCCAGAAGAAATTATTATTTAGGAAGTTTCTAGCCTACTTTACTCTAAAACTCAAGGTGGTTTACATGGAATCTTCTTTCATTTTATCCCCACAACAGTAGCCATGTGATATTGATTGGACTGAGAGAGTGCAACTGGTTCAAACTCACATAGGGAATTCCCATGGCTCGTTCAGTCCTAGTCCAAACACACTACGTTACCCTGCTACAGTACACCACATAGCCTTGAATGCTATTGAAGTGCCATATTGTGTTGGGTAAGAAAATGGTTAAACAGAGACTATGGGTATTGTTAAAATCAAAAACTGGAGGCAGAGATTAAGGTTCAGACTGTTTTGAATGGAGTAGATTAAAGAGTATGTTCATAATCTTGGAATACTCTATATTCTTTAGCTGTCACTGGAATCGCTGGCAGTGGCTGTTATGAAAAATGCCTTTGTACAATTATATGTGGTATGCCAACTACATCCCTTTCCCAGACTCATCACTTTTTATAATGATTATTTAATGCCTTGACTACATCCATGTTGACTACTGCAGTCTACTCCTATAGAAACTAAGCAAAATGACCTTGACAGAGACAGGTCAGATCTGCTACCAAAGCAACAAGGAAAAAATATGATTTAAGTCCAAAACAAGTAGAAAGTCCAAAATAAGTGGCTTCCCTATGCCATTGGATTGTAAGAAGGAGGAAGAGGTACTGCACAAATAAACTTGCAAGATTCTGTTCTTATAGCACCTCAATAAAGTATGTTTAATCTTCCTGTGCAGTTGATTCATGATCTGGTCTACCTGAATTCAAGATGGGACTACCTATAATCCCATGATGGGACAACCAATGAATTTTCCTTGACATGGAAATGTGCAGAAGTTGTAATTATGTAAAATATATCAGCTAGATTGTTAAATGGGGCATATTATGTCTGCACTAACAATCTGTGCTACTTGCCAGATGTTTGCTGGAGACAGTTTAAAATGCTGGTATTGACTTTTGAAGGCTTAAACGGTTTCGAGTATGAATTTAAGGACTGCCCATTTTGTTACGCTTGTCAAGTTGTTAAGATTAGCAGGCAAAGTCCTTTTGAAGAAGCCTTCACTGTCAGAGGCTCAGATTTCGGGTGTCTGGGAAGGGAAAGTTGCATTTTCTCCTTGCTTTTTAAGTGTTTAGGAAATAGGTAAAGATGTGAAGGGGGGGAGGTTGCTAGACTTGTTAGACACTGTTAATGTTTATTTTATTGTGAATTTTAAATTCTGTTTTATTTTGTTAGCTGTGTTGAGTGCTCACCAGAGCTGAAGGGCAAGTTTTGAATCAAATAAAATCTCTTCAATATTTTCTTGCTTCAAGAAACAAAAACTTATTTTTATTCTGCATTTTTATATTAACAGTAATTGAAGCAACATATATAAAATATTTTTTAAAATGGATAAAAACTAATATTAAAAATACAAAGCCTATATCTTTCAGGTCTGCTTTATAGATTACCTGAATCAATTTCAGTTTACATAAATGCACATTACTTAACACTTTCTATACTCACCTATGTAGTATCATTTGAAGTAGGTATTTATAATTACTTTCAGTCATCATCAACACCACACTATGAATTCAAAGCTGGTGATGAAGCAGTTCTTTGTTATTTCTATCATTCCAAGATTTAAAAAAGAAGAGAGATGTGCAAATTGTTCAGTGCACTAATGTTCCGTACATGGAATAGTCAATTTTGGATAGTTGATTTCTAAAATAGGTTTTAGTTTTCTTCAGTCATAGAAAATATTAACAGTTCTAACAATAAGAACATTAACTTTACCTGTAGAAACTTTCATTTAAATCTTGGAGAACAAAATTTTAGTTTACTTCCCCTTTAATTGTTAACATCAGTGACCTAAATGAGGTGTTTTTACTAATGTTGTAATAAAACAACAATGCGTGTATATCATTTTAGGGCATTCAAATGGTTTGTTGCTTGTCAGGCTTGCTGGTGTGGACTTAACATCTGATGGTGTAATCTGGCTAAAAGAAGAAATGAAACCTTCACAAATGATTTGGTTCCAGCTTTTGGGCAGAAAAGAATCAGCACTTGATTGCTTTGTAATAGTAAATAAGGTAAGTAAATGTTCAGAGTGAACAGAAGTGCTTCCATGAGTGCAAACAATAAGAGTGCTTAATGTAAAATAATTTATGCTGAGATCAGTGATTCTTACTCCCAAGTAAAAACTTACAGCATGGTCCTACATCAATTCTGGATTCAGAGATGCTGGGTACGTTATGCAATGCCTAGACCAGTGATGGCGAACCTTTTAGAGACCGAGTGCCCAAACCGCAACCCAAAACCTATTTATTTATCGCAAAGTGCCAGGGCTGCATCAGCATTGTGGTGCCCTCAGAGAGGCAGGGAGACGCCTGAGTGCTGCCTCTGGCACGCAAAAACCGGGGGGCGCAAAAATGGGCCACCGTGCTACAAGGTGCAAAAACGGCCGCTGCCGCACCGCATGGTGCAGATACAAGGCGCTGCATCACGCAAGAACAGGGCAGAGCTAGTGAGTATCATGCAGGCACTAGCCCCAGCCCATTTGCAGTGCGTGTGTGCTCACGGCCCCGTGCGCGCCTGCACGCATGCAAAATGCTTCCTCCTTTTCTTCCAGTCCACCAATCAACAATGGTTGGTGACCTCTGCTCTACCACCTCTACTCGAGCTTGCTAGTTGACTGCTTCGCCTCCTTTGTGCTGGGTGGGGCTCCTGCTCCGGGCGGCGTTGGCAGCCTGATGGACCTGCTGCTGGCGTTGGTGCGCGTGCCAAAAGAGAGGGCTCTGAGTGCCACCTCTGGCACACGTGCCATAAGTTCGCCACCACTGGCCTAGACAAACATTTGGCAAGCTATTTATTGTATTGGAGATGGAGGGAGCAGAGGTTGGTGTGTAGGGAGATTTTATTGCTTAGTCTATGGTAGTTGCCCTCCAACATGTTAGGAGTGCAGTTCCCTGGAATTCCCAACCAACATAGCCAAAAGTTGCGAATCTAGAAATAATAGCCCCAGTGCATCCAGAAGTAAAGGTAGTTTTCAACTTACAATCACAGTTGGGACCATAATCTCTGTTATTAAACATAAGTGTTTGTTAAGTGAGTCACATCCGATTTACAATCTTTTTTTGCTATAGTTGTTAAGTGAATCACTTCAGCTATTAAATGAATCATGTAGGCATTAAGTCAATCCAGCTTTCCTCATTGACTTAGCTTGTGGGAAGCCAGCTGGGAAGTTCACATGATCCCAGGATTCTTCAACTGTCTTGCTGGTTGCCAAGTGCCCAAATGTTGCTCATGTGACCATTGGGATATTTTGAAGGTTGCAAGTGCAAGGACTGTTATAAGTCACTCTTCACTGCCGTTGTAACTTTGAATGGTTACTAAACAAATAGTTGTAAGTCAAGGATTACCTGTATTCATGTATGGTATAATACATACATGTATAATACCTGTATGGTATTACTTAAGAAAATTGATATGGCTGCTCAAGTCAGTTGAGGAATTCAGCTTTAATGTTTGTTCCTTACTGGAATGGACACAGTATGTAATAATATGTTAATTATATGCCTTATGCAAAACTTTAATGTCTTTTTTGAACAGGGGAGATTTTCCAGTATTTGTCTAAATGAAGAGATCTTGCGACAGGGGCTTGGCAAGACAGTTTGTATTGAAGGGTTAGCTCATGAATCCCGGATATACTGGAAGCTTCACAAGAGGCTACTTCAAGCAGAAATGAAAGCTGTGAAAAAAAAGAAAGGAATCTGGAAAGAAGAGACATTCATTGAAAAGCTCAAAGAAAACATAAGCAATTATAAATTTATCCAAAAATTAAAGCAGTTTGCAACATGGTTGAGAATCCGGCTGTGAAAACAATAACCTTTTTTGCTTGGAGGACCCTAGATGGAGCAGGGAGCAGCATTATGTTAGTTTCTGTGAAAATGAAGTAACTAAGCTCTTAAGAAGATGAAAACATCTGATACCTATATCTTAAGAACATGTGCTTTATTCAATACCCATAATTATTGTTAAAAGTTTTAATCTAAGCTTTTTCATACTGAAGAACCCTCTTTAGGCTGCCTTACTATCCCAGAGGAGAAAACACAAAATATAATGTGAATATAAAGGGAATATGGAAATACTGCTGATGTATTTTACAAAGATTGCGTGAAACATCATGGCAAAAGGAAAAAAGTAAAAAAAAAAAGCAAGGCATGTTCTCCCCCTATCAAATTTTGTGCAAAAAATTACTCAGCTTTTTCGTGATAAGACAGCCATAATGCTGATGTCTGATCTTTGGCAACTTTATACATGTTACTTCTAGATGCTGAATTTGGGTTCATTTGGGAGACTTCTTTCTGGCTTCAGTTTATGACAGCAGCATTATTTAATGCTCTTGTGACAATAGTCTGATTTAGGTTCATACTGGCACTGGTTGAAGATGATTAGCTGATAATTATGTAATATTAGCCCCATAAACATTGTGGGTTTTGTGCTGTCTGTTCTAGAGGTGGTTCTTAATGGATATCAAGATACTACCCCCATTCTATAAATATCAAAAGTGCAGTAATTGCAGTTCTTGGTTGGTTGCTCCTACAACTATACCAAGTTTCTTTCAGAAAAGGTAGAAATTATGCCAGCCAAACTATCTTATCTGTACATGGTGTATGCTCTCTGTGGTCTGTGTCCATGTGGCTTCATTCCTTTTTTCTGTTTGTTTCTGTTTACTTTGTGATGCTACATGGAAGAATTAAATGGAACTGCCTATATAATAATTTGTTTATCAAAGAGAATAGCTAATTTCAGAGAGACCAATATGTTTAAGAGTCAGTATTACTGTTTATGTTTTATAGACCTAATATTTTAAGGGACGGAGAAGGAAGTGACATTGAAATTATGGACTTGCGCTCAAGGCAAGTTTGCGTTGGTTTGAATGTAAAGATTAATTGACCTGATCATAAGATGTGAGCACATGAATAGATTTACTTTGGTGGAACATTATGTATTACTTTGTATTCTGAACCACTTATTTATATGCTTAACTAGCACTTGACAACATTTTGAATGATCTTGCCAATGCAGGTAATAAATATAGAGAATATAGCTACATTGAGAATTAAATCTTATAGAAATATTTTTTTTCTTGCTGATCTGTATTGTCTTAAAATCAGTTCAATGCAAAGCAATATGTATTCCTTAAATATCAATATAGAAAAACAGTTCTTTAGTCCCCCCAATAGAGTTATTTTTTGTAACTTTATCTATTTTTATAATAATTTAGATATTGGTAGAAAGACAGCTCTGCCTGCATTCACACTCCAAGTTAAATAAAGTAGGGTTAGCTAATTTTGTATAAAACTAGACATTGTGGGTTATGAACTGTTTGATAGTTTAGTGCAGTATGTAAAGTTAGCTTGTGGCTTATTCAAGGAGCTGTGCTTAAGGAATATGTGCTCAACCAGTTTGCTCTAGTGGTTAAAGGCACCAGGCTAGAAAATGAGAGATCGTGAGTTCTAGTCCTGTTTTAGGCATGAGAGCCAGTTAGGTGACATTTTGGGCCAGTCATTCTCCAGTCACTGAGACTAGAGAGAGTGACTACCTCGAGGTCACCCAGATGGCTTTGTGCTTGGTGCGGGACTAAAACTCACAATCTCCTATTAACCTCTATACCTGAGTGGCTTTCTTGGGTATAATATGCCCAATGCATTTTGCATTGTCTTTAGGGATAAGGTTATCTCATTCTTCTCATAGTATGAGTTTAAAGTGTGTTATTCAGTTAAAAAAACACTCTTCAAATCTGAATGATGACTTCAAGAGATCTTATGAGTATTAAAATCCTGTCTTAAGAATGGAATTGGGCAATATGATCTGCAGATTTATTTTCCAGACCCATAGCTCTGTGAATTGCTAGTGTAACTTCCACCACAAATTAAACCTTCTTAATAATTTTAAATGAAGCCCTGTTGTTCTACCTGATTTAAAGCATAGCTTTAAAAAAGTGCATTTTATATTGAAGAATGATATTAAATCCTGCTTTCTGTCTAAGATTTTACCCTGGTCACTTCTTCCACCCTTCATAATTCATTCAGTATAATCCCACTGGCTGGTATCATAGGCTGAGAAATAGTAGGGAAATTATTTCTGGGGGATAAAGGAGATTCATCTGGGCATGTTTGCTGTTATATTACAAATCTTTAGTAGAACAATAATGCTGTAAAACGTCAGTGGAGAATTGCTTTTCTCTTTCTCTCCATTTATGAAGGGTCCACCTCCCAATCCATGTCACTTCTAATTATCTTTGGATATAATGTCTTCAGCTGGGGCCCATGATGCTTTGCTTTGAAACTGCAGTCTCTTCAGCCGAATTGAATAACATCAATGGGGTGTTTCTATGGTTTCAGCCAGGCCAAAACTGGACAGTGATGAAAAGGTGAAACTTAAGCTGGCTGCTCCTAGAGGTCACCGTTTCCCCATTCCAGCCTCCCTTCCTTCAAGCTGTCTGCAAAGCCAATGCATCAGATTGACAATAATTCCTTTTTGCAACCCCTAGGATAAAGGAAAGAGTGCTACTTCCAAAACTTGCACTGTTTCTTAGATGTGAGACTGCTTTGCATATATTAAACATAAGAGCCGATACGATCTGCTGGTTAAGAATTGCTCAGACCTGACTGCAACTGTGAACTTCCTACTGCTGTAGCCTTAGGCACACATAGTGACTATGCTCATTGTGCTAACACTTAATTGGTTTGTTTAGTTTCAGTTTGGCTTGGTTTATGTGTCACATGAACCAGTCGTGAGTGATAAATCATAATCTATGACTTAGCATATTGCATACAAAGTTAAAGGTGGTTCATTTAGTAACCATAGTTAAATCGTGGTTTAGAGTGATGTGGGAATAGAAGTAGAGACTTTTTGCAGCCAGAAGACCCATTTAAAATACAAATACAAACAATTTTCTAAGAAATAGAGAGAGTGACATGGTGATATCCCTAGAAGAGACATGGCTAATAATTTTGTCCAATACTTTCTGTGATTCAGGATGTGGGATTAAGTCAAAGTCAATATGTTAGTCTAGTATAGGTTTAAAGCCACTGTCAAATTAAAAAAAAATACTGTACACTGACCACCTGTGATTTGCCACCAAATTGCATCATGTAATTTTGGGAAACTCCAGGGATCACAAAAATGGGAGTGGGGCTTTGCAGTTTATGGTTTCTCTCCTGAAAGACAAATTAAACCCTCCTAGACTCCCTGGAACATCTTCTAGGGAAAATATGTCTAGCTTTGCCTTCTCTGTGGATTTAGATAAACCACTTAAAGATTGCCTTATGGCAGTGTTTCTCAACCTTAGCAACTTGCTAGGGAATTCTGCTAGTTGAAGTCCACGTCTTAAAGTTGGTGAGGTTAAGAAGCATCACCTTATGGCGTTGCAAATTAGAATCACTAGTAAAAGGTTGTTTCCAACGTAATACAGGGGAAAATACTTTGAATAATAGGAATACCCCATATAAACTGAAGAGAGGTATTTTTTCTTAATTTGTCATGTGAAATAAATTTATAGAACAATTGACAAGAGCAGGGTGAAGTAGTTCTTTTCTAGCTGCCTTGTGTTTTGTTTTAAAAGAGAGCGCTTTCACTCTTTACTAAGAGAGATCCCAGGCATGTAAAGCAGCAGTTACATGAACAATACGCTCCAAACTTTCTTGTTTCTTTCTTATTGGAGGAGAATTTGAAATAGGTGAATGAAAGCAGCTTAGTTCTCCCAGCAGACTTTGAACCAGCAAACAATAGAGGCAGGTTGAATTGGACAGAGGCGAGAATAATCTGGAATTCCTGGTACTGGATTATACCAATCCTGGGCTTCTTAAAATGAAAGTAGAAAGCAGTGGTACTGCAGCACTTTTAAAATGTGAATGGAAATAGGAATTTGTAGCAAGTGATGTTAGGAAACATATCCTAATGGATCTACACTAAAAAAAATTAGTGCTGTGTTGTGTACTTTTTTTTTTTATTTAGAAAAAATACCATTGTTTTCACTGTGATTGCTTTTTCCCAAAATGAATATAATACTTTAGTGACATTTTCCTAAGCTGGGTCCAAAGATTTCACATTTAATTTAGTGACGAGGTAGCCCAAGTGTGCATTGTAAAGGGTCTTGTCTTTCATTTTGCAGTCTTTTCTTCTTGATGTCCTGCACTTTAATTATTTAGTTAGTTATTTAAAATAATTATAAGCCTGTCTTCTCATAATTTGCACAATGGGCAATCAATAACAATAAAAATACAGTATAAAACCAAGAACAATTCAACAAAACTAAAGACATACTCAAGACTGGCAATCAACGTATATACAAATACATTTACCACAGAATGGATTCATTTGCATTTCGGTCCAGAGTCCTGGAGAAAAGCCACGTTCTTGTGATTTGGCAGAAGACCAATAGGGTAAAAGGGAAACAAGGATTTCATTTCAGGATGGGTAGACAAATAGACTGCAAAGAAACGGAGGCTGTATAGTAATTGTTTTACCCTTCTGTTCAGTCGTGTTTTCTGAGATTGCTTGGAGAAGTTCCTGCAGTTTTCTTGGCAGGGTTTTTCAGAAGTGGTTTGCCATTGTCTCCTTCCTAGAGCTGAGAAAAAGTGACTGGCCCAAGGTCACCCAGCTGGCTTTGTGCCCAAGGTGGGATCGGAACTCACAGTCTTCCAGTTTCTAGCCAATGCATTAACCACTGCACTTATTGGCTCTCTATACCAATTATATCAACACCTTTATCTGTTTTACAATATGAAAGGAGATTCAGAAACACCAACAAAGGCACTCTCAGAGGGTATGAAATAGGAAAACAAGATTTCTTGGAAAAGAAAACTTGCCAGAAACTGGAAGACAAATTTAAACATAGTATTACCATTTAAACTTAACAGTGTAATAGCAAACAAAACAAGAGCCAAGTTAAAGATATTCTGTATGTACTGGGTGGACATTGCTTGCTTTTTTGGGCTTTGGTTTATTTACCCCCTGTGTTGTTCAACATGACATTCATGGTGGTTGCACATCTTATTCTTACAACTGAACGAGGCAAATTAAATGGAGTAATTGGTTTGAATTGCACAACAGTGTAAGCTATACATAGTTTGTTCATGGTTTATCAACTAAGCCACAATTGCTGAGTTCACAGCGTTCATTAACCTATAATTTAAAATGTTTAAACCACAATCAATGAATTCATAGGACACACTCAGCCAAACCAAACAAGCTTTGGGATGACTTAGTGAGTTAACTGAATACAATCATTTATTGGCTTGATCTCACCCAAAGAGCTTTATTCCTAAATGAAGATTTGAAGCTGTCTAATTAGAGCTATTTCCTGTCTAATATTGATCCACTACATCAAATTGATTGTTTCTGAAGAATGCTGATTTTGGTCTGCAAGTATATAGTAAAGCAAAAACTACAAAACCGTAAGATTAAGGGAGCTCCAGAAAATGGAATGGGCTAGCAGCATTATGAAGAATTGTTAAATTGTATCACTTACATCCAAGGTCAATGTGTTTCTGATGTTTTACTAGCTTAGACAGGACTAAAACTCAGTTTCCTGTTTTCTAGCTTGGTTTCTTAACCACTAGAACAAACTGGCTCATAATTATATAAGAATAACTAAATAATTATACATTCATGTGAAATAATTTCTAAAGATGCCTTAAAGCAATTCATGATAACATTGCTGCAACATATTCATTAGCGAAAAGCAGAAGTAAAGTTACTGATGTCGCATAGCCTTTTATCTCTTATTTCTCCCATATATTTTTCTTTACTGAAGTTAGTGGCCCAGTTAACTGGACAGCTAGTGTGGTTAAAGGTGTTGGGCTAGGAAAACTTAAGTTCTATTTCCCTTAGGCATGACAGCCAGCTGGATTTTGGGCCAGTTACTTCTTCTCAGCCCAAATAAACATTAGACTGTACAACTGGCTGGCTGAAATACAAAAACAAACAAAATTAGTCGACCATGTACTGACACCTTTGCTGTATGAATTAAGCAAGCACAGTGCAAAACAGGTGGATTTTGCAGTTGTGGGAGCAAACTCTAAGAAAAGCAATAATAGTATCCCAATAAAGAGTAATTAGG